CGAGCTAGAGTTCGATTAAAGTGGACTAAACAGGGCTAGTGTGAATGCACCCTTAGGCATTTGAAGGTCAACAGAAGAATTTTAAAAACTATCCTCGTACGAACAGGGAGCCAGTGAAGGGAGGACAGAACTGGTGTAATATGTTCAGACCTACGAGTTCTGGTTAAAAGCCAAGCAGCAGCATTCTGGACGAGCTGAAGACGTGAAATGGAGGCCTGGCTGATCCCAGCATACAGTGCGTTACAATAGTCCAATCAGGTCGTGACAAAGGTGTGGACTAGTTTCTCAAGGTCGGGTCTGGACAACACTGGCTTTTCTGCAGAACAGAGTTGATTTGTTTGTCAAACTTGAAGTCAGAGTCTAAAACCATCCCGAGATTTTTACCAGACCGCTTCAGATATGGCTGAAGAGAGTCCAGGTTGATAGGATCAGTGGTAGCAGTTGAGCTAGGGCTAAAAACAATGACTTCAGTCTTGTCATTGTTAAAACTTAAGAAATTTGAAGCCATCCAGGCCTTAATGTCATCCAGACATTTTAACAGAGGGTGAATGGAGCAAACACTTGCTGGTTTCACAGGCAGGTAGATCTGGTAGTCATCAGCATAGCAATGGAATGAAAGACCATGTTTCCTCAGGATGGACCCCAGTGGGAGCAAATAAAGTGAGAACAGAAGGGGTCCAAGAATCGAACCCTGTGGGACCCCACAAGAAAGAGGTAATGAGGCAGATATATTATTACCAACCTTGACACAGAAACTCCTGCCACTCAGGTATGAGCGGAACCATTCTAGTGCAGCACCTGTGATCTCAACCCACTGTTCCAGCCGTGATATAAGGATGCTGTGGTCAACAGTATCAAAAGCAGCAGTAAGGTCCAGGAGTACAAGTACCACAAATTGACCAGAATCGTTTGATATCATAATGTCGTTACAAACCCTTACTAATGCTGTTTCAGTGCTGTGGAGTTGCTTAAAACCAGATTGCAAAATTTTGAAGATTGTGTTCTCATTCAAAAACTTGTTTAATTGAATGAAAACTATTTTCTCCAGGATTTTGGACAGGAAGGGAAGTTTAGAGATTGGTCTGAAATTTGAGCAAGTCGAAGGGTCAAGTCCAGGTTTCTTAATTAACGGATGAACTACTGCATGTTTGAAAACATCGGGAACCACACTTGTCACAATACTACTATTTACAATAGTAAGAACAAAGGGTCCAATCGTGGGTAGAACTTGTTTGAAAAACGACGCAGGAATGAGGTCAGCAGGGGAACCGGAGGGTTTCATCTGACCAACGACTTTGTTTAGAAATGGGAGTGAAATGGGTTCAAACTGTTTGAAGACAGCTGAGCAAGGGACAAAGACAGAGGGGTCAGTTGTGGACTGGAGGATGGATGACCTAATCACCTCTACCTTATCAGCAAAGTATCTGGTAAAGTCGTTGCAGATGTCAACGGAGGCCTCCATGCTGGCAGACCGAGGCACGTTTAAAATGGAAATTACGGTATTAAAAAGAACACGGGGATTATGACTGTTTGAAGCAATGATTTGGGATTTGATTAGTGGTTCTACACTTAATGCTTCTCAGTCTCCTGCCTGAGGGGAGCAGGGCAAAAAGTGTGTGTGCTTGGTGAGTGGGGTCCTTCATGATACATGTGGCCTGTTTCCTGCATCAGAATGGTGTAGTGGTTAATACTGTTGCCTCCCAGCAATGTGGTCCTTTTCTAAGTATTGGTGTTTTCCTTTAGGTATTGGGCTTGCACGTTCTCCCATCACCCATTTAATCTTAGCACCTTCCTGCCATCATAACTCCTTTATCAGACTTCTTGGGCAAATAACTGTTGTATCTTTTATCTACAAGAAATATGTATTATCTGAGAATAGACATTCAGAGTAGAGTAGAAATCCAGTTTCTATTTCAATTTTCTCTCATCAACTACAGAAATATTGTGCAGCATTTCTGTTACAGCAGTGGGCTTCTTGCATCTTTAGGAGGCCTGTGGAGGTGTTGGGTGGATCCTTACGAGATCTCTGGAGAACCTGGTCAGAACTAAGGAGTGAAGACAGGAGGTGCACTTTGTGTATGAATGTGGTGTCATTAGCAGTGCAAGGTCATGACCTATTGGGAGCAGATTAGTCATGAGCTGGATAATGGAGCTGGTGTGTGTATCGATCTGAGCTGGTCTCTAGGGATTCATAATGCAGTTCCTAAATCTGCCTAATGATGAACTGCACTGTGTGTGAGTTGGGGGGGGGGGGGGGGGGTCCCTGTGTATCAATTTTATACACAGATGCTGATTTTATACAAACATTAGAGAAGTACAGTACACTCTGGCTTCTTCATCCTCTGTCCTCACTCCAACTACATCCATGTCCTCTATCCATATATCTCCTTTTTTTTTTTTTCTGGTAGCTGCATTTCTAACATCCTTCTACAAATATACCCACCGTCCCTCCTCTGGACATGTTCAAACCATCTCAGTCTGACCCCTCTAACTTTATCTCCCAGTTGTTCAACCTGTGCTGTACCTCTGATGATCTCATTCCTAATCTTATCCATCCTTGTCACTCCTAAGAAGAACCTCAACATCTTCATTTCTGCCGTTTCCAGTTCTTTCTCCCGTCTTTTTGTCAGTGCCACTGTCTCCAGACCATACAACATAGCTGGTCTCACCACTGTCTAATAAACAAGAACTTGAAGTACTTGAAGTCCTACACCTTTGTGACCTCTGCTCCTTGTAGCCTCACTGTTCCACCGGCCTCCCTCTCATTCACGCATGTACTCTGTCTTACTACGACTGACTTTCATTCCTCTTTTTTCAAGTGCATACCACCACCTCTCCAAGTTCTCTTCCACCTGTTCTCCTCACAGATAATTTATCGAGTTTATACAGTAAAAATAATGCACATACAGTACCTATATAAATGATACATAAAAACAAAGTAAAAACTTTTTTTTTATTGTTGCTACAATTGTCTTACAATTGTAAATGTTGGGTAAAACTAGAGCTACAGGATGGATGCGATTACACTGGTTCATCTTGTTGTCTTGTGTAGTGAGATAGGTCGGTTAGCTTCGTTTAGCTTCGGAGCTCCACTACACGTTATAATATCTGGACTAGTTCAAGTACCTGATATTATACTTAATTTAAACAGGTTCTCTCTTTTTCGAGCTACTTGACAGATATGTGACAGAGATACTGTGTGGGAGATGGTTTAATCAGTGACGTGAGACGTTAAGTTTCTTTGACCCATCAAAATGAATGCGGTCATTTATTAACAGAATCAAAGTTTAACATCAAACATTGTACACGTGATTATTCTGATTGTACGCGATAACACAGCTTAATTAATACAACAGACATTTATGAAAATATCTGGATGATTTACTGGCAAGATAGAAGAGTTTTAAAGATGGGAAATGAGGGAGTTTAGATGGAGAGAAAAGATGTGTGAGGGAAAATGTGTCGACGAAGAACGGCACCCTCCTTTTGAACCCAGCTCTACCTCGGTACACTTCGGTAGTGGAAATCGACTCTTTACCTTGTAGAAGATGTCTCCACTGGTACGGAGTTCCATTTAACGCTACCTTTCCAGCGTCTCCGTAGGAACAGCTGAGAATCGTCCGAAGTAGTGACGGTACTTCGTTCAACACCACGCTCACCTCACGGGTGGACTCACATGAGCTGTGAGTCCGTCAGAGGTTCCACTCAGATGTGGAAGATTCCATAATCCCCACGAGACTCGGAAGAACTTCGGATCATGTCTGCAACTTCTTGTTCTCTCCAGCAACTTTTCTGTTCGGTTCTGCTCTCCGAACTGAACTGCACTCTTGGAACTAGGAAGTGTCGACATTTAAAGAGTTCTGTTTCCGGTTCATTTGGGAAGTCCTGATTGGCTGAAAGAGCCAATCAGGGGTGTGGTTTTAGTGACGTAAGAGGTCACTAGAAGTCAGAAAAACAGTGAGATGTTTTGGAACAGACAGAAAAATGTTTTTGAAACAGACAGAGAAATGTTTAGGCGAGATGGGAGGAAACAGGTGCCAGCTTCTCTATTTACGTCTGAGAGGATTTAAAAACATGACAGTTCGTTCCAATAAACTTGTTTGCGTTTGTCTCCGACTTTTGACCGACATCACAACTTGCTCGTTTCAGACAGAAGATCAAGAAAATGAATAATTACTCTGTAACAGACATTAACTAGATTTCTACTTTGAATGAGGATTAAAAATCATTAATACTGTTTCACAGTTGATTTAAAATGAGTAGTTCACTTCAACATTTAAAAATGATTTGAACTAAATACACTTTTGATTATCAAGACATTTGTAAAATAGTAATGATAATAAAAAAGAGAGTGTTCTTTCAATTGATCAGTGCAGGACACTTAGAAAGTCTCTGGATGAACTTAATTTTGTGTTTCTGGACTCAAATCAATGAAATGACAGTTCCTGTCCCAGGAAGGCCCTCAGGGCCAGATTTGACCTGAGGCTTAGTTCACTACACTTGTGTTTACAATGTTCGTCTTGGTAATCTGATCACAGGTGGATAGCTCCACAAACTACCATTCACAGTCTGCACAGAAAGTGTCTTAACTTGTATCATATTGCTTGTGATTTAGGCATCACTCATTCCATAGACAACTGTACAATTTGTATGCTAGCATTTGTTGATCTTTTATTTGCCTCAGTATCTCTTGTTGTGCAAGAGTATAGTCAAGGAAAACAAACAAATCATTCTGGATTATGTATTCTTCATAAATCAGGAAAGGACACAGTTTAAGGTCTATATGTTTGTCAGTAGAAAACAAGTTTGTTCATGTATTCACACCTTTATCTTGACCTGTCGTATGTCCACAGGTTTATTGGCTGTGTCCCTGTGATCTAGACTCTGCAGTGTTGCCTGCTAAAGTTATAATTTTACTACCGAAATAATTGTTGAGCTTATTTGAACACTGTTGACACATCCTGATGCCAACTGTTCATGGGTGTTTTGTGTGTACCCAGGGTTTAGCAGTCGTCCAAGGTACCTGAAGGTGTTCATCAACCCCAGCAGCCACAAGAAGGAGGCCATTCATATCTACAGGGAACACGTGGCTCCTCTTTTTAAGAAAGCTGAAATTCGCACCGACATCACTGGTTTGCTCATACACCTGTTTATTTACCAAAAACAAACAAAAAAAATCCACTGGTAAATTGTTTTAATTAGTTTTTGTCATCTGTGTTGTTTAAAGATGGTACAACCACAGTAAAGCCTTACTCTCTTTTTATGTAAAAAAAATTAATGTGGAAATCTGTGCGTGTGTGCTTGCATGTTCAGGTCCAAAGGTCAGAGCTAATGGCAGTTTTTAGTCGCTAGGTAACATGATACAAGGGGCGGAGCTTAGCCCATCTGTTGTGACAGAGGGACATGACTTCCTGTCTTCTCCTCTCCTCTTCTGTGATTTCTCTTCTTCTCTTTTCTGTTTTCTACCCTCACCTCCTTTCTCATGATTACTCTTCTCCTCTCCCTCCTCTCAGCAGATGGTGTGATATCCGTTGTCCCACTTTTTTTTGGCTGCTATCAAACATGCTTGTGTTCCTCTGACCACACACATGCATGAACACTTATTGTCCAGCTCAGTGTCTCTCCATCTGCTTACCTCTCCCTTCCCCCTTTTTCTCTCTCTCTATCTTTAATTGTCTTTCCTTCTGTCTGTCTGTTTGTCTTTCCAGTGACTGAGAGGAAGGGTCATTCTCTCTCAGTGTTGAAGGAATGCAAACTTGATGAATATGATGGGTTAGTTCTCTATAATTTCTTATTTTTTCTTTGTTTAAATGATCATTGGTTTGCAACTGAAGTATTCTTTTAAAATATAACTTTTTTGCCATAATTTATCATGGAAAGACATACAAAAATAAATATATAATATTTGGGGTTTTATTCATCAATGTACATTAAATTATATGTGGATAATCAATACTACTGAATTTTACATGCACGGTGTGTGTGTGTGTGGGGGGGGGGGGGGGGGGGGGTGGGTGGGGGGG